GATTGAAGAAGCTCAGGTCACAAGATGACCCAAAAATCATCCGAGCCTATGCCGATATCCTGGGATCGCTGATGCATCCGACTGACCGTCCTTCCGTGGACTATCTCAACATGCATGAGTTCACCTCATCCATAGGGATCAACATCCTTACCCTGAACCATGGAAACCTCACAAGGAATCCAAAGTTGGACAACAGGGAGGTGTACAACATGCCGATGAAGGATCGACCAATCGTCAAGATGATGATGCAGAACAGTGCACACATCCTATGCCTGAATGAGGCAGACGCATTCTTCAGTCCGAATGATGAGAAATCCAGGGAGCTCATCAAGACGTTCATCCGATACGGTTACAAGGGCATTGTGATCAAGCAATGGTCATCCAGACCGATCGCATGCTTTGTCCGCGGCGGACCCTCTGCATTTCATGCACAGGTGATGACGGACAATGGATTTCAGGGTGCACGAAGTCTCCACTGTATACTCCATTCTGTCCACGAGTGGCAAATTCTTCGTCGCATTCCACAGTCTCTGATATGCTCTCATGAGGATGTTCACGAGACCGTTGGTTGGATTGTAGACATGCTGGAGTTTGCTGTAAGTGTTCGCCGACTTGTTGGCGTCTCCGGTGATCGCATCGCATCGGTACAAGGTCACGAGCGGCATGATTTCATTCTGAAGATCTTCCTTTGCTGCTCCATGGCTAAGTGAAGGATGGATGTGGAAGACTCCACTGGCTGCGAATGGTAGATCTGCCCTCGTTATGTGGCGGTCGTCATAGTAGTATGACTTGTCGGATGATTTCGGGATCATGCCACGAAACTCATCACTCTGCTCGATGTGGAGAACAACGATCTCCTTGTCTCGGCCATGTCCTTGGACAATGGTGCGTGCTGGCAATCTCGATCCAATGTACTTCTTGGATTCGGTAAACATGGATGTTCCTGTGGTTGCCAAGCAATCCGAGGTCGGAATTTCGTAGTCGGGATCAGTGCCATCTTCCTTGGCTCCGAAGAAACATCTGAACATTCCGAATGTGGTTCCCCAATTCTGGCTCCTGGTGAAAATGTGTCTTGCCAGAAGTTCCACTCGTGATCAGGTTTTGATCAAACATTCCCAGATGTAATGATGACTATCGTATTTGGATGGGGCAAAACGAACATCCAGCAGGACTTCCAGAAGATCGAGATGAACAGTATGGATGATGGCGGAACCATCCAAACAAGGCCATTTTCTATTACCAGGTCTCATCCGCAGAGCGCTACAAGCACGTGAACAATGAAATGTTCATGAACGGCTCGCAGGACTCCGACTCCCACAGTCCTCTCATGGTTTACATCCGCAGCAAATCTGCAACCAGTAAACGCAACTCTGAGAGATACCAGGAGTACGTCAAGAAGAGACAATCATCCTCGACCACGCAGGAGTACAAGGACTACAACAAGCAGTGGGGATATCAGAAGCAGTGGAAGGACGATAGTTATGGAGACCATGGCAGTCAATCCGACAGCAGCCGCCGATGGTATCGTCGATCCAACTGACCATGAAGATACGTCCAGCACCACGAGCAATCCAGATGATTGATCCTCCTCGTCTACAAGACTATGCCATGAGTGAGTGATCAATAGTTTCACAATTGTTCCGCGTGTACATAGCGTTGTACATCACCCTTTGATACAAGTAGTACCGCGCAAGGCGGTGGCGGAAGTTTCTAAAAAAGAACCACTATAGGAGGCTTGAACAACCAGGGCAAACATGTTTGGGGCCAAATTGAAAACCAATCATGTTTTGTTTGTGACGAACATGGCCAAACGGTCACAAAAGAAATCAACAGGTCATGTCTTCACAGGCAACTATTCCACCGCTCGGACAAAAACTGGAAAGAAAACCTGGCTGACAGGGAGCCTGCCTGACCGCAAATGTTTGACAAGTCTTAAGCCTCCATCATTTACCCTTTGTTACCATCCGCCCGCCCGTTGTCCCACCGGCTCTTTTTCCTTTTTATGCGGGCAGATTCACTTTGTCTCTGTTCAAGGCAGCACGGTCAGAAAAGACGCATGCTGCCAGGCAAGGCGCACTGCAAGGCACACGGCCTGGCAAGCGCCGGGCGGTCAGAAAAGACGCACCCTGGCGCATCTCAAGCGCATTCAGCGCTGTCTTGTCAAGCGTTCAAGGTCATCGTGCACCTCTTGCGCCGCGGTGCGAAGCTGGAGACACTCGTCAATGTCATTTTGCTCGAAGTGTTTTTTGGCGTGCAGCGGAGTAAAGGCAACCAAGCCGGGTATGTCTTGGCCTTCGTTGCTGTGAAACTCAGGGAGCCAGCGGGGAAGGCTATGAGCTATAAGCTGGTAATCGCCGTTTTTTCTATTTTTGGATGTGGTGTTTTTTAGGTTTTTTTTTTTTTGGTTTCCTTTTTCCTCTTTTTTTTTTTTGTTTCTTTTTTTTATTTTTCTTTTTTTTTTTTTTTTTTTCTTTATTTGTTTTTTTTTTGTTGCTTTGGTGTTGTGTTTTGACTGCTCTTTCGTCCGCACGGGCACCAAAGCCTAAACTCCTGCAAAAGCGTGGAAAGAACTGGCTGGCCCGCTGGTTCCTCGCGCGCGCGGGTCAGCCCCATTGCTTCCGATCTCCGTGCCGTTGTTAACCTTCAAGTTATCGCTGCGCGTTCAGAGTGGCCATCCCCCCCCCCCCCCCCCCACCCCCATGGAGTGCCGTGTTTTTTGTTGAAGCCATGCCAGTGTGGGCACACGGTGCCAAAGCCCATAAGCTGCTTGTGCCTGCGACATCTTCCAAGAGGGCATGTGTCGTGCACCAAGTAGTGCTCGATGTCCCCCGCATCGTTTAAGTATCCAATGGGACATGAACAAACATGAACAGTGGTGGTGGTGATGCTAGTGATGCTGGTGACGAAAACCGGGACATTGAACAAACATGACATACGCGGAGCAACTGACAAGACAGAGCCGAAACGCCACACGGTCACAGCGACATTACCTCCCTATCTATCTATCTATCTGTCTATCTACCTATCTATCTGCCTCTCTACCTCTCTATCTATCTGTCTACTTGTCTCTCTATCTTTCCAGCTTTCTATCTATCTATCTATCTATCTATCTGTCTGTCTGTCTATCTATCTAGAGCGCGACTAACTCAACAGGGCAGCGTAGGATGCCTTGCGCGTTGCCATTCCAATGCGTTTTACCACTGCCAAGCTGCATTCCAACTTAGAAATGCGCACCGCGCGCAAGCGCCACGCATTTTTTCCAAATTGGATGAAAGCCTTGCGCGTTGCCATTCCAATGTGTTTTACCACTGTCAAGCTACATTGCATCTTAAAAAACGCGCACCGCGCGCAGGCGCCACGCATTTTTCCAAGTTAGATACAAGCCTTGCGCGTTGCCATTCCAATGCGTTTTACCGCTGTCAAGCTACATTGCATCTTAAAAACGCGCACCGCGCGCAGGCCGCGTGCGATTTTTGTAAGTTGGAGCTTCCAAAAGTAGCCCGACCCTCTCAGGTTTTTACGATTTTGACTTCCAAATGTGCACCGCGCGCAGGCCGCGTGCGATTTTTGAAAGTTGGAGCTTCCAAAAGTAGCCCGAGCATGTAGTGTTTTTACGATTTTGACTTCCAAATGTGAACCGCGCGCAGGCCGCGTGCGATTTTTTGCCAGCAATTCCGACCAAAGGCTCCGCACCCGCCGCTTTACCGAAGTAACTTCTGGGCCGTCTGGAGGCTCAAAACATTGAAAAATACAGCATTTCGCGACCTTTCTAACATTTCGCACACCATGCTTCATCTTTCTTCATCGCTTCTTCATCTTTCTTCATCGCTTCTTCATCTCTTCTTCTCTCTCTCTCTCTCTCTATCTCTCGCTCTGCACTGCTCTGCTTGAGTTGTCGATATTGTCGGAAGTTAGACTTCTAAACTTCCTTCGACAATTAGGTATCCAAAAAGAAGCGTACATAGTGTTTCCCATTTCGAAGGCCAAGACATTTCATCCAGCAGAAAAAGGATGAATCCGGCACTTTTAATCACATGGCTACGGCACACATGAAGGCTACGGTCAAAGGCCATGAAGCCAATAGTATTTCATACTTTGTGCTGGAGATCAAAACAAATTTGTGTCTGTTTTGTGTTCTGTTTTCCAGACCATTGATCTCCCGCAACATTTGGCTCAAGGCCCCTTTTGCAGAATCACGACCATCCGAGCGTGAGGACAAAAGAGCCATTGCAGGCCGCTTGCAGGATTATCCACAAGACAATCCACCAGGGACAATCCATCCTCCAATCATCCATTACTGGCATATTGGACTCTCTCCGGAATAGATCCAGGGACCAACAACGACCTCAACTACCAGGGTTCGAGTTTTCTCCGCGGATAGGCGCCTGGGGCAGTGGACCCGCGCCCACGCCCCCGCCCCCGCTTCCGCGCCCGCCCCCGCCCCCCCCCCGGCCCGCCCCGCCCCTCCCC